TTTTTTTTGTTACACATAACCTATATTTTTTCTTTTTTATTATCCTTTTTTTTTTGTTCAGACAAACAAAAGCATTATTAATTGTATAGAAATGATTAGAGAGATTATTTCGTTAAACTGCGTACTAATATTCTGTGATAATAAGACAAAATAAATAAATAAAGAAAGAGAGAGTAAATGAGAGAGAGAGAGAGAGATAGTAAGGTAGAGATAGAGAATAGAAAGAGATAGAGAGATAGAGAGAGAGAGTGGTACAACGTTCCCACAAAAGCAAAGTACTTTTTATATATATATATGTATATTGCCAGTGTGTGCGGCGCAATAACAACGTGCGTGTGTTTACGGTCAAACTCTTGAGAACAATTTATTATAATAAGAATATAGGTATTTTTTTAATTTGTTGAACTCGATTTATATATATATATACAAATCTTTATGCAAACACGCGTTTTCGTTTTAGTTCAGAAAGAGAGAAGAAGGTAAAAGAGGAGAAAATGGAAGGGGTTGTTGCCACTCTGTGAGACAAAAGAAAAAAATAAAGAGAGAAAAATTTAACGAAAATAAAAGAAGAAGAAAAAAATGAATTATTAAAAAAAAAAAAAAAAATCATATGGACGCAGGTATTGATTTTTTTTTTTTGTTTTTTTTTGTGTGTGTGTAAATGATTAAGGAACATATATATATATATATATAAAAATGAAAAATTTATTATTATTATTATACGTTATAAGATTTATGTTTCGTTTTTCTTTTTTTTTGTTATTTCATTTTCTATTCTTGTACGTTTATTTTTTTTTTTCAAATTTTATTTCAAACAAATTAAAAAGCATATACGTTTTGTACGGTGTGGTAAAATAAAGTAAAGTAAAGTAAAGTGAATAAATAAATAAATAAATAAATAAATAAATAAATGAATTAATTAATTAAAATTAATTATTGAATAAGGAAAAGAAACAAAAAAAAAAATAGGAAGAAAAAGCGAAAAACATTGTGTCGCAAAAATTCGACAGGTGACGACTAATGCGGGTAATATAACACACGTGTGTGCGTGAGTGGGTGCGTGCGTGCATGCGTGCGAATAAAAAAAAAAAAAAAAAAGAAGATATGTGAAAGATAGAAGAAAAAAAAAGCAAAAACAAAAAGCGTTCGATCCAATTCGATTGATCGAAAATCAAAGCCGTGTAATAAAATATCGTTTAAAAATATAATTGTAACGATGACATACATTACTTTACATTATAGTACTCGCGCGAATAAAGGAAAAATAATAATAATAATAATAACAACAATAATAATAATAATAAAAATAATAATAATAATATTATTATGAATATATTAATAATAATAATAATAATTATATATATATATAAAACAAAAATAATTGCAACCCTTATACTATTACTTGTAATAATAAACTTTAAAAGAACAATTTTTTCGTGAATCGGAACAAACAGCAAACAAACAAATACAAACAAACAAACCAACAAAAAAAATACAATGAAACAAAATAAAAATATTTAAACAAAACAACTGCTACTACTACCTACGCGTTCACACAATTACGACATACACTGAACTATATTTAGTCAGCTGTAAAAGGTAAATAAATTTAGATTAAAAATTATAACAAAAATAATAATAATAATAATAATAATAATAATAATAATAATAGTAATAATTATGAAAAAGAAAAAAAAAATACAAAAGAAGAAGAAAAAGAAGAAGACAATTGCACGTTTATGGGGGGAGTCCCCGTGGGGTGTTTCTAAAAATGGACGACGAGAAAAATACTGTACATAGTGTATATATATATATATATATATATACATATATATAAAACAAAAAATTATGAAAAAAAGATATTGAATATTATGATTAAACAAAAAATTTGATGAATGAATGAAAACAAAAACAAAAAATGATATCAGCATAAAGTTTAAGTTAGATAACAAAAAAAAAAGAACAAAAAAAAAGAGACAAAAGAAATTAATTAAACCAATCATTTATTATTATTATCTTTCAACGTGAATTTACGTTAAAAGAAGAGGTGTGAAACTCTTTAAAAAAAAAAAAAAAAACATTAAAACTAAAAATAGAAAAAAAAACAACAACAACACAATGACACATGTATAGGCTGTCTCTTTATTATTCGTGTGGCCAACGATCGTCGTCGTATTTGCAATTTCAATAATTAACGACAGACGAAACGATATTTTGTGGATAATAATAATAATAATAATAATAATTATAATAATTAATAAATAATAATAATAATAATAAATATTAATAAAAATACCTTTTTTTTTTTCGTCAGCCCTGTTTTCACATAAAAAGAAAAACATAATTGAATCAATTGAAACATGAACATATTCATTTCCTTTTTTTTCTTTTCTTTTTCTTTTTTTTTTTTGATTTTCAAATAAAATTTGATCTTTCAGGACAAAAAGAAAAAAAAGCATGAATAAGTTTTCCTTTTATTTTGTTTTATTTTTTTTGTTTTCAGGATAATTATTTGACGTTTGATTAAATTGATTGATGGATTGATTGATGGATTGATTGATTGATTGACTGATTGAATTGTTATATTTGATCGTACGCGTTTCGCGGGCCACAAAAGTTGAATATGTCTATTATAAAGATTAACAAAGAATAAATAAATAAATAAATAAATAAATAAAAACAATGAATATTATAAAAAAAAAAAATTTGTGGTATAATCCGTGTTAATACGGTTAGACATATTATTATTATTATTAGTGTATGTTCGTTTAGGATATTATTCTGATAACACGAAAATAAAACAATTAAAAATTAATTAAATCAATTAAATAAATTAAATAAATAAATTAAATAAATAAATAAATAAATATATATATAATAATTGATAATATGAAAACAACGTTATTAAACATTCGTAAATTTAAAAAAACATACGAGAGAAAGAAAGAGAGAGAGAGAGTAAGGTCTACGTTTTGTTGGGCCAGTTTTAGCAAAAATTCAGATTTCTATATCGATCGATGTCTTTCAAAAAAAAAAAAAAAAAAGAGAAGAATTGAAGAAAAAAAAAAATATAAAACAAATCATACGTTCGTATCCACGTGACCTTTGACTCGTTTTTCTTTTTATATTGTTTATTTTACTTTTTTTTGCAAATTATTATTAAAAACTTAAATTAATTATTAATTGTGCTGTTTTGTTTTTTATTTTTGTTATTTTTTTTATATATATAAAGATTTTTTTATTACAATTATTATTAATAATCATTAATATTATTATTATTATTATTACTAT